GGATGAATACATCCCTTCCTGTCCCTACATGATCCGAATATGATGATACCACACTATACCTCCCTTAAAACCTTATTCTGATTCTTACAGTCTGCTTTGTTTCTTGACGTGCGTGTGTGAGGAGCAGCCTTCCTATGGTGCAGTTCTCAGGGCACTCGGGGTTGGTAGGCCTGTCATTGAGGCTAGGTGTGCTCCTTGAGTCAAGCAGTTGCAGCTGCGTATTTTTTTCAGCGCTTCTTGTCGTGCAGGTCCTGCGGAAGAGCCCCGGCAGCGAGGCGACGATCTGAGTGCGGCACTTGCCATGACCGAGCCCCCAAAAAAGCAGAGGAAAGGAGCTTTGGGCTTTGGGAGGCCTTCTTGAGTCTCTTGGGGCTTCGCTGAGCCTCAGAAAGCCACCCAAGCGAGAGCCTCGCCGTCATCCCTTTTCCCAAGTACCATTCTAGAATGATATTGCTCCAAGTACCACCATCCTTCTCTTGAACATGAAGCGCTCTCCCAAAACATGCATCTCTCCAAGTTCTACCCGGTTCCATGAGCTTCTTTCGATGACTCAGTGAGTTGTTAATCCGTGAATTCCAGTGGGAAGTTGAGGAGACCCCAGGGCGTTGTCAGTTTCGACATACCCGTCATCAGAATCAGAGGTGTCTGCTTTTGCTGCATCCTTACCGTTCTGGGGCTTCTGGGGTAGATCAGCCAACCGCATTCACAGCCAGAGGTTTTTTTTCAGCGCTGTTAGTGTGCGCTGTCGTCAACGGACTCCAAGTACATATCTCACGGGCTTTGGGGTGGACTTCTCAGCAAATCCAAGAAGGCAAGCCTTCGCAGAAAAATCGGCACAACTGTCAGTGCTTCGCGAAACTTCCCTATTGTGCGACTTCTCAAGGCTCGGGGTGTGCAATGTGTGTCACTGTGGAGAGCCCGTCTGGCATACCAGCAACCACCACGGCGTTTTTCTTGCGTCCAGCTACTTAGGATGGCTCATCAACGTGAGTTTCGCTTAATTTCGAATCCACCCCCGAGCAAGCATGGCGCGGATACCGGGGCAGCCTGCCTTGGAGGCCCTGGCACTTGCATCTGTGAGTTCGAGTTATCGCATCCATGGTGCCTCAGAAGCCATTACTCGGCTGGTCACTTGCAGCGGACCTGGGAGGACAGCTTGCCTGGAATGCCGGAGCTTCCTGAGGAAGCCGCACCGGCCTCGGCACGTGTGCACAACTGTGTGTTCACCTGAATGGCGCAAGGATTCGCTCGGTCAAAACTCAGCGGTCTGCCGCACGCACGTGAGGCTCCTGCATCCGCGCAGCTGTCGCTGCCCTCGTGCCACTCTCAGACGAGCCTTGATATGGAGTCGATGCGCAAAGCCGCCCTTTGCCGCAACATCCCCCCACGTTCTTAGCAGATCTTGGAATACTTCTTTGTAGATCGGGACGGCAAGAAGACTAAAAATAGTAATCATGACAGCAAGAATGACAAGTAATAGAAATACAATAGCTCGGATCAGTCACTTTCTTAGCCATGCGGGGTTTTAGCATTGTCCGATAGATTCAAAGAAGCCTTCGAGGGCCCAGTATCCACCGGCTCCGTTCTCCTTGTTTATCGCTTTCTAGTAGTATGATTGTGCAATTATTTGCATTGTTGTTATTATTAGTCTTCTTCTTATTGTTATTAGTCTTATGCCTATTCTTCTTCTTCTTGTGAGTATTGCTAGTCTTCTTTATGGGTCTTTACTACAGGTCCCGAGCAGGAGCTCAGAGGAGCCCAGAGTCCCTCCCAGGCGCCCTGCTGCGGAGCATCGCCTCCGAGGCCCGGGCGGTCCTCGGCCTCTGCTTCTCGCATGTTTTTTAACGTTAAAAAACAAAGTGGTTGTGACTGCCGATCTGGGCAAGCTCCCGCCGAGCCGATCCCCATCTGTCCTCTTCGAGGTAGAGGCGGTAGAGTCGTATCGTCGTCGTGGGCGTTGCAAGGGTCCGTGTTGGGTGCCCACTGCTGTTCGTGGCCTCTGCGTAGGTCTCTGCCTCACGAAGTCCAGCCTCGGCTCGGCGGTGGTTTTTTAACGTTAAAAAACGAGTTTCGGTCCGAGCGGGCGGAGCGAGAGGGGAAGCTGGAGACTGGGGTATATGCAGGGTTTTAAGGGTTTGAAGAGCAGAAGTAAAGACAGGGGCAGAAGAAGAGACAGAAGACAGCCGAAGAAACGAAGCGGGGGCTTTGCCGAGCCACGCCCATGCCGTTTCGTGTAGAGAGGAAGGAGCTCCGAGGCGCAATCGGAGCCCCCGGGAAGTTCCAGCACAGAAGCGAGAGAAAGCCACGGAAGAGGGCTCCCGTCCCAAAAAAAAGTCAAGAAGCCCTTAAGCGAGAGAAATCACTTGAAAGAGAGCTCCCCCCCCCCTCCGGAAGTTTCCTCGCCAAGAATCCCTTAAACCTATTGCTCCCATACCCAAGGCAGCAGCACACCAAACCCAACCCCGAAGGGGCCCAAGATGGTCGAAGGGCCCCGGAAACTCCGAAGCCTCCAGCGCTCGAAGAACTCGGAAGGTTTTTTCTTGTCCCCGTTTGCGGAGCTTCGCGGAAGTTCGTCCAAGAGTAGTTTGCGTGCAAACGTCTCTCTTGTCAGTTCTCCGGCCTCGCCTACAAAACGCCTCTGCTTCTCTCTCCCACAGCGCTCCACACTCGCCCTCCAATCCTACTCCCATAGCTTCCTCCTCAGAGGTTAGCCTGTGAGAGTTGCAGTTCTTTGAGTGCAAGGAATGCGTAGTGCTCCGCCCCGCCAGTGAAGACCAGCTTCTCTTTCAGATCTGAACTCCGCTCGCGTTGCCATGTCGCAGCTGAGGGCCCTGCTTGCTGAGAGGCCTCCTCTCATGCTTCCCAACCGAGCCCTTACTCTTCCCCGCTTTGAAGACCCTTATGGCGCCGAAGAGATGCGCGAAGGCGACCTGGCAGCTGCCTCCAGAGACTTGTCGGGTCTCAGGGCTCAGGCCGCGTTGCACGCCAGGAGTTTCGGTGGGGTGGGGGGAGGGACGGAGAGTCTTTTCGTCAGGGCTGCAGGTTGCGGCAGTTTCAGTTGCTGGCACCATAAGAGTGGTTTGGGTTCGGCTGCTGTGGGCCAGCTTTTGGGACTTGGGAGGCCGTACACATGGCACTCTTGGTTGGTGTGTTTTTCTAAACGCGAGTGGAGTGAACGCCTGAACTGAGTTGGGTGACACTGACTCAGAACGTCAAGGCATGTTTTGCTTGAAGAGTCACAACTTGCCCTCTTGGGGGGCGTTGCAGTCAGCTCCCCGTTGCGAGAGGCGCGCCACGTCGAAGACATGATGCAGGCAGGTTAGCCCTGACAGCGATTCCTCGTGCATCCTGAACTCTTCGAAGCCCAGCGACTACATTTCGTCTACCAGCCCATTGCGCCTCGGCAGGCGAGTAGAAGCATCCTGGGCGACGTGTGCCTGAAGCAGCTGGACCATCTCACGGCACCCTCGGAGAAGGCGCGCTGCACCGGCAGCTGTGCTGCATCGCTGACTCTCCCCACTGCCCACGCAAACCCCACGTTGAAACGTTTCCACTGTGGCTTCGCGCTGCGCAGGCCCCGAGCGCCGCTCAGCTGCGGCAAGTCAGAGCACTTGTGGAGGCGCCGTGCACTGGAGCTTCCAAGCAGACGCAGCCGTGCTCCAACTGCCTGAACTGTGAAGGTGCAAGAGGACCTTCGGAAGACCATGCAGGAAAAAGAGCTGCGGTCCCGTCTGCAGGACGGAGCCAAAATTGAAACCTGTGCGAGTAGAGTAGATGCGAGACTTTTTGACATGTGAGACGCTGCAAAGAAGCCGTGCTGCTGCATGCATGCTGCGAATCCCGATTTCCGAATGTGTCCTCCCCCCAAACTGCGCCGGGAACCAGCGCCTTGAGCTGCGGGTGCTTAAAGCGGTAAAGCGGGTAGCCCTCACCGGGGAGGTAAAGTCCGCCTAATTTGGGGCCCTACACTGCTAAGGGTGCTTTATTATAGGAACCCCCATTAAGGGATCTACTTTTTGGATCCTCTTGAAAATCTGGGGAGCCGGGGTTCTTCCATCAGCCCCTGGGGGGCCGGAGCCAGGAGCAGCAGAGTTTGCACCGAAAGGAGCTCGAGGACCGCGTCTCGACTGCCTCCTCAGACTTCGCGGGACGATGCTTCACTCCGTTTTCCCCATCATCTTTCTTGGGTCTCCTCGTGCGGAGCAGCAGTTTTTGTGAGCAAGGCCTCCATGCTCACGGCTTCGCAGGAGCAGAGAGCTTCCTCCCAGCAAGCTCTGGAGGCCGTCCGCGCCCATCCTTTCGGCAGTTCGTGGAGTTTCAGATTCAATGGGTGAGAACGGGGCGAGGGGATTCGCAATGTGTGGCTCATGTGGCTGTTGGCTTTACCTGTACCGAAACCATGGCAGCATCGAGGAAGTCTGTGCATTCTGTTCCTGCGGCAGCGTCTGCTTCGGAGGACCAGAAGGAGTTCTTCGAGAAGGCTCTGAAGGACCGTTCCGACGATTCACTTCTTCGCCGCTTGCCGAGTTGAGTTGAGACTCTCCGACGCATGGGGATGCCCTCCGAATGGCAACCCGGAAGAAACCCTGAGATCTTTTCTTTCCAGTACATGCGACAACTTGCTCGTGGTATGCTACGAGTGATTGGGGCCTCCTCGGAGTCAGCCTGGCATGCCCGGCAGGAGCAGAGAGAGGCTCTTCAGAAGACTCCTGCAGCTGCCGAACAAGCTGACCTCGAGGCCTTGGAATCTGTCTCCCATCTCGTTTCGAACTGTCGTTGCAGAGCGTCTGTATAGACTTGACACTATAATTAGTCTCAGCTGCGTTGCACGTAGGCCTTGATGTGACCATGCGGGGCACAACGACAGTAAGCTGAAATAGATAGTCTGCGAGTGTGCACTGCATGGGGCCATTGGGTAAGAGCCTCTCATCATGCGGCAGCTTGAAGGAAGGCCCCCAATTTGACGCCCACTTTTGAAGCAGAGCCTCCATCTTCACGAGGCGGCGCTGCCGGCGGCGGACGGCTCTCACAGCGCCTCCAAGGGGCTCGCGGCCGAAGAGGCGTCCGGCACGACCCAGCATGTTTTGCACAACGCACTGCGTGACCCCAGAACCCAGGCAGCGGTGCCGATCGACCAGGCCGGGGTGTTCCGCATTCTGTGTAATTCTGTGGCATGGGCTTTCCCAGCCGTTCCGAAGCAGGTGCCCAGAGGCCTTCGCTTGGATGATCTGCTGCGCCTGGTGGAGGAGCTTTTTCCTCGAAAGTGTGCTCATGCACCGTGCCGTACACTGTCTGCTGCAAGGAGAACAAAGAGTGGCTTCAAGGCCCCACGGCCCGGGAAAAGATGACGGGCCGAAAGAACATGTACGACGTCACTCCGGAGCTCATCATCGCACGATCCCCGGGCATCCGGAAAGTGCAGTTGCCGTCGCCATCTGGCACTGAACAGTTTCGACTCCCAGCCGAGGTGGCGACGACATGCAGCTTGTTGTTCATTAGGGGGGAGGGTTTCCCTGAGTATCCTCTCTGGGCCAGCCACTGCTGCAAAGACCCTCCCTCTCTCTCCGTCTCCGTCTCCTTCGCTCCAACTCTAAGCTCGTGAGGTGAGGAACGGGTCCTGGAGCTCACCAAGGAGGATGCCGAGAAGATCACGAAATCTCTCGCCGGTGGTGACGACGGAATCTTCGTGAAAGGCTCCCTGCAATGCCGGAAGGGAGCCAAACTCGGAGGTGTGCCCGTGGAAGCTCGGCTCGATCTTTTCATGCGACGGTTTCGTTGAAATTGTATATTTGTAGATCGAGGGATGTCTTCCTCTTTGGTCGTCGAATGCCAATGCGAGTGTTGGAAGTCAGGAGAACCTGGTGATCCAGGGGGTCCTGTGCCGGTTGCTCAGGGTTTGCGTCACGTGTGGTGTAGGTGTTCCCAGAGCAACGGATGCGAAAGTCGGCGAAACATTTGTGTTGATCTGTGAGACTCGAGGCGAGGACGGTGCGCAGCGCAGGGAGTACTGGAAGCATGGCAGTGATGCTTGGCTGATGCGCATGGACATCCCACATTACTCAGGGCAGGTACAGAGGTCTCGGGCAGCGGCAGATGGGATGACTTCTGTCAGGAGCGTCAGGAACGGTGGCGCACCACAGACAACCACGGATGCCGGCCGTGTCAGGACACTGGGCTGCATGGAGCCTCAGCCGTCACGCAAGGGTTTGGCGATGGCATCAACGGTGGTCTTGGCCATCTGCAGGATGCGATCCCTTCGAAGCTCCTCGGGAAGCAGCTCGGCGAAGAAAATGCTCGCCGCAACAAGAAGCTACTCCAGCAGCCGGGCACAGTCGTCGTCCTGCGCACTGGCGCACCTTGATCGCACCTGGCGAAGTCTGGACCTGCGAAGTTTGCGGCCGTCAGAACTTGAGTCAGGTGGCCTACGTGGACGTCGTTCCGCAGGGCGAGTTTGCGCCCCTTTGCGCGTTCGCCTCGCATTTTTGGGGGGAGGACTGCAGAAATGAAGCCCTAAACCCTAAACTCTAAACCGAGCTTTGGCCTCGGTGGCCCCAGCGCGCCGCAGGAGACCGTGGCGTTCGCCGAGTCTCTGCGACTGCATGCTGAGACGGCGCACCCCAGAAATCCAGGACACCCAGAATCGCAGAATCCGCGGTCGTGCGGTGTTGCTTCGACGACTTCGCAAGCAAGATCCTTTGAAGCATCAGCGCCAGGAGCCATGTGCTACTACATCTGCTCGTTGCTTGGCAGAAGAGTTGGGCCCGTGCGTGTGATTCGGAGCATCGAAGCCGAAGGCAGCTTCCAAGGCTCATCTCTATCGGAATACGGGCGGAGATCTGGAGAGACGTCTAGGCGACAGCTCAGGTTCTCGAATTGCCAGCACCTCGTGGCCGGCTCCCTACTGTACACAGTCTTACGGTCTGCAGTCGACAGACCGCCCCTTTAGGATCTTGGAACGGATTGGCAAGCGTCACCCTTCAATCGGGCCCTGGAGCATGTAGCCGCATGCTCCGTCCTGAGTTGCTGGCATCGTCGAGCTTAAGCTTGAAGTGGGTCAGGTTGTCAACAGTCAAGATCCTGTCATGAGGCCGGCGCGTGAAGCAGGACTCCGTGTACTGTGCGGTGATGCTGCGCCGGCCTCGGTGAATCAAATCCATGCAGAGTCAGGGAGGATTTCCGCATTCCCTGTGACAATTTCGCCCGGAGGTTCGACGAGAGGTGCAGCACGCTTGAGTGGCCTGGTTGAGCAGAGCGCCAGAAGCGGGAATTTCAAGATGGCGTCTATTTAGTCTATTTCGCTCCTCCCCGACAGATGGCGCCTTAGGAGGATTTGGTGCATCTTCGAAATCTGGCGCTGCTGCCAGTTGGAGCTCCGATTAGACTTGTGCCTTGTTTCAAGCAGCGTCGTGCCATGAAGTATCTCAGCGCCTTTCGGCTGTGTTTGCAGTGCAGACTCTGCCGGGCTTCTGCAGGTTCTGCGTGGATGGGCAGCTGACTCGCCGATCCAGCACCCCCCTCGCCTGCAAGATCCGCGAGCAGGCGAAAGTCCTGGACGTGTCCAACACCGAGTGCTCCGAGATGAGCGATGCTTGGCTGGGGACAGGAAGCGGAGTGAAGCGCGCAGGTCAGGGTGCGGGTCGGGAGTGCGTGGGTGCTCTGCACTCGCGTAGCACGCAGAGTTGCTGCCACATCCCAGGACAAGCGAATGATCGAAGCAGCGGTGAAGACCAGCGGTTGCAGCTGGGCCCAGATCGCCGGCACCATTCAACTCCAGGCCCGTGCTTTGCTGTGCTTTGCTGCTTTGCCCTCAGTATGCCATCCGGCCCCCTCCCTGGCAAGGTCACCAACCTCGTGGAGTTCTCCGCCAGCCTGGCCATCTCACGGAACGCCCTCACAGGCGGCCTCTGGAGCTTAGTGCGGCATGTACAGACTATAAAAATTGAGCGGCGCTCCGCACCTGCACGTGTCTGTAGGCGAAGAGGTGACAGCAGAGGACGTTGAGATGCGGATGTCCGAAACCTCGCAGGCCCCGGCCCTGCACATGACCCCTAAGGGACTGAAGCGGCCCTGACAGCTGAGGTCCGGAATTCGTCCAGCATCATCAGCGACTGCATGCAGGCCCGAAGCATGAAAGGATCGGGCGGTTCTCTAGCAACGTCACTGCCGCCTTGCCTTCTGCAGGGCCGGCTTCAGCGCATCCTCGTCATTGGGCAAGGAGGCAGCTCACAGCCGCTCTCACATCGGACAGTCCTTGGCGGGCCGTTTGCCCTGCGCAGTGCTTCACAGAGGTACTGGAAAGTCGGTCTTTGCGCGGGAGGTCGTGAGGAGAGCCGTGCAGGTGCATTTTTCCTGCCTTCTGGGTCCGATGTCGCATTCCGTGCATTCCCTCGCCACCGTGGTTTATGTCGTTCGTTCCATGTTGCGGCCTTTCTACCAGGCGCGGGAGGAGGGCGCGGGCCTCATGTTTGGGCTGCGAAGTTGCAGGACCTGCTCAGATCTGAGGCGGTGGGGTCCAGGAAACAGTGATCCCGCTCCGAGTCCCCTTGGCAGAGCTGGAAGACATCAAGGACCCGCCCGGCTTGAGCAAGGTGTGTTTTGTATACGCGTATACGTATGTATGTATGTATGTATGTATGTATGTATGTATACATATTATATATATATATATATGTGTATATATATATGTATATATGTATATATGTATATATGTATATATGTATATATGTATATATGTATATATGTATATATGTATATATGTATATATGTATATTGTGTATATATATATATGTATATGTATATATGTATATATGTATAAATGTATATATGTATAGTTATATATATATGTATATGTATATATGTATATATGTATATATGTATATATGTATAAATGTATATATATATATATATATATATATATATATATATGTATATATATATATGTATATGTATATGTATATGTATATGTATATGTATATGTATATGTATATGTATATGTATATATATATATATATATATATGTATATATATATATATATATGTGTATATATGTATATATGTATATATGTATATATGTTTATATGTATATATGTATATATGCATATATGTGTATATGTGTATAGGTGTATATATGTATATACTAAATACATACGTACACACATACATATATGTAAAACACACACACACATACATACATCGCATGTATGTATGTACGGTTATGCATGCTTATGCATGTATATGTGTGACGACCTACGAGTGTGTATCATTATGTGTCACTATGTAAGTTTGTGCATGATTATCTATGTACGTAGCATGCATGAATCTATGAACGGATGAATGTATGAATGAATGAATGCCTGCACGTCTGTATGTTTGCATGCCTGTATATCTATATCTGTATGTCGGTATGTCTGCATGCTATCCATGTACATACCTATCTACCTGTCTATCTGTCTACCTATCTACCAATCAATCTATCTATCGATCTATCGATCTGTCAATCTGTCGATCTATCGATCTATCGACCTGTCGATCTATCTGTGCGTTTATCTCTGTATGTCTGTCTCTATCTCCATCTCCGCCTCGACCACCTCCAGCTGCACCTCCATCTTCATCTCCATCGCTGTCGATCTCCATCTCCAGCTCTAGCCCAGGTCTAGCTCAAGCTCTAGCTCGTCTCTCTCTCTCTCTCTGTCTACCTCTGGCTCTGTATCTCTCTCTATCTCTATCTCTCTATCTCTCTGTACCTCTCCATCTCTGTCTCTCCATCTCCATCTCTATCTCTAACGTGCCTTGACTTATTGTCAGAATTACCACAGCGTGTAAGTCGTGAAGAACACGAGCCAGACGTGATGTTTCAAAGCAGTCTCCGCGCATGTTGCACGTGTGTCGCGGGTGACGCCCCTGCACAGAGTAGATGCTGTTTACCAGCAGGAAGGAGTCGATCTGCCACTCCTCTGCACTTCAGCTCCCACCGGCTTTCCCTCTTGCAGAATCTGGCATGCGATGTGCAAGTCTTGCAATTGCAACCGAAACGGTTCCTGTGCAGACGCTGAGGTTTCAGGCCTGGGCAGAGCGAGCCTTCGGCAGCGACAGCGACGAGATTTTGAGAGGTGCGGCGCTGCGCTCCATCACCTGATGTTGCCGCGGTAGCTTTTGCTGGGTCAGGCGATCGGCGGCTCGTCTTGGTCCTGGACGGCCTGGATGAAGCCGCCAAGGCCCGCCGACGGATCCTCAATTGGCTCCAGCAGTGGCTGCAGCCCTTCGGCCAGCAATTGGACATTGAACTCTTAGAGCACTCAACCCTGCTGGTTGTCAACGCTCCGGCCCAGGGCAAACGGCCACCGGTGCGTTTGCACCATCATCGCCTCTCGGCCGTCCGGGACGAACCAGCCCGGATCCCAGCATGCCCTTGGAAGGCCTAAGGGTTCTAAAACTTTCAGCAGCATTTCGGTCTATGCAAGCAGCCCGCTCACGCTGCCCCCCGATCATCTGGATTCTGGGCTGAGATGGGCTGAGGGTGCTGGGCAGCGATGGCAGCGCTCGCGAGCCGGCGGGGTCGCCCGTGCTTGGCCAGCTCTCCGAGACGTCGCTGCTGACCCAGGCAGCCCGGCAATCTGCGACTGACTGCAGCTTGCACCTTTCAGGCAGCATCACATCCACTAGCCGCATCAGCTGCCGCAGCGGGCATTTTTGGATCATTTGCGTTGTGTCGTCTCCGCACTTGCAGCTCATTGCGGCTGCAGGCGGATGCACTCGCGTTTTCGCATCTGAGCCGAGCCGTCGCAGGAGCCGCTGCCGGTCTCCTCTCACGTTCGGCTGCACGACGGCGCTGGGCAGAGCCTTGGAGTTTGCACCGTCCTCTCCTGCGAGGAGGCGCCGTCGCCACAGCGGAAAAAGCTCGTTCTCGAGAGTCGCCGGCAGAGAGCTCTCCGGGCACTGGCCAGGGCTTCCTGCGGAAGAGGGAGGAGTTTGGGGAGGAGCTGCCGCCCGGGGTGCACTCTCTGAAGGTGCGCCGCAAGGCCCGCGTGAGCACTCCTGTCCTCAGCCGTAGCTTGAGAAACCGTCGCGTGAGAGTGGCTGCTGACAGGATCCGAAGCAGGTCTTCTCCGCTGCGGTGTGCCTCGACTGCGCCGACCGCTCCAGCGCCAAGGCTCTCCTGGAGCGGGCCTTGCGGATCGCCGGCGGCGATCCGGAGGAGAAGCATCATAGGGTGGTGGTGCGCCGGGCCGACGGCGAAGTCTGGGAGGACCCGTGCTCCCTTCGGAGCTTCGGAGCTTCCACCGTTTGCGTGCGACTGCCAGGACTACAGGCCCATTAGCTACGGCGTGATGCTGTCCTGGCCCAAAGGCGCCTTTCCCTGCC